ATTTCAGCGTCAGGAGCAGCAGGTTTACATGCAAAGTCTATGGTGGACGCGCTTCAAGCAACGTCGGGAAATATGTCGCTACGTCACACAGTGGAGTCTCTCTGATTGGTTGACGCTGCGCGTCGAGCTGCAAAAGTTCAGATTTTCTAACTTCAGCGATTTGGACGATTTGGACGATCTGAGCGTTCGACGCTCAGATCGTCCAAATCGTCCAAATCGCGCTGCTCTAATCGCGCTTGAGGCGCCGCAGAACTTCCCGACGTTGCTTGAAGCGCCTCCACCATAGACTTTGTATGTAAACCTGCTGCTCCTGACGCTGAAATCGCGTTCGGTGTGAACGCACCATAAGGCTGAGTTGTGGTCGCGCTCTGGAGCGCGCGCACCAGCCTTTGTGTGGACTCTCCAACATCACGTCACGTCATGTGAACTCTCTGAGACGCAGAGACTCGTTTCCTCATATCAGCTATGAAATAAACTAAGATCTATGTTCTACCAAACATTTAAGTTCCTCTGTGTTTACAGTAATTATGGTAATAAACTCATGCGCAAAGTGATAAGCCGGTTGCGCAACACAGCAGCGTGCGCGCGTACACACACACACACACACACACACACACACACACACACACACGTTCTTTACGTGATAAACATATTTTATTCCTATTTTTACTTAGGATTGTTTTTCTCACTCACTTTATATTTAATTCATTATTTTTATGACGTTAGAAATCATTTCTGATCGTGCAGGGATCACTCAAACGTGTCCTTCACACATGCAGGAAGTAATTTGCATCTGTTTAACATTTGTTAATGAAGGTGTGTCAGGGGAGGTGTCTTACCTGCGCTCAGTTTCACGTTAATTGTGATGTACAAAAGAAATGTGCGTGGATTCAGGCGTACGCACAGTTTGATATGTCTGGATTTTTTTGTGCATACGCAGTTTTCTGGATTTGACCGTACGTCAGGTTTCAGTAAGAAATCCACGCAAGTCTTTGTACATGAGGCCCCTGGTGGACTGCATTCATGCTGTTTTACTGTTTAAATTCACTTCTCCTTTTTTGTTTTTTAGTCCAACTACATCTGTATTTTTAAGAACTCAAATATCAAAATGTTTAAGTCTGACGGTGTTATACAACATTTAATATTTTAGCTTTTAGCTAGTCATGTTTGTTTTAGATTTTGGTGTGATTGTTGTAACTTTAGCTCACGTTTAGCTTCTAACTTCAGCAGTCACTCAGGACTCAGTTGGTATTTTAACATAAAAGTGTAACTTTTCTAGCTATGACTGTGTTGACAACTCATTCTAAATAATGCAGTTTGTAATTCTTCCTCTGCAGTAGAGAAGTGTTGAAGCTTGTTCCTCTGTTTGTCTCAGATCCTTTATTTCATGGACCTGGACCTGCTGCCCTGGTGCTGAGGAGAAAAACAGCTTCTTACATCAGCAGCTCCACCAGCCGGCGGCAGACTCCCGAGTCGATGACTGTCTGGATCTTCTCATTGGGTCCATCGGACAGATAGGACAGAGCCCAGCAAGCATCAGCCAGAACGTCTGGGTCGCTGCTGAACAGAAGCCTGGACAGAACACTAAGACAAGGACACACCTGAAAACAAAGACAGATACACTCAGCTGGTTTCACTACACGGCTAGAAGGACAAAAAGATGAAATAAGTTCCGGCAGAGCGAAACAGGAGGTTGGTGACAGGACACAGACTCACCTTGGTAAAATCTGGTGGTGGGTTCTTCCCCCGGCACAGGTTGGACAGAGCCCACACGGCGTTTCGGGTCGTCGTGAGACGGTTCGATTTAACCAGCAGCCTGAACAAAACAAATTCAATCCTGAGTTGAAGACGAGCTGAACGGAATAACAGGAGAGAAACAAACAAAAACACACTCACTGCTGCAGAGACGGGAGGATTCCACAGTTCAACACGAAGTCCCGGCACTCGGAGTTATCTCCTGCTATGTTCCCCAAGGCCCAGACAGCCTGAAACACAAGAGAGCTTCTGTCAAACCGGGTCAGAAACACAGAACTCAGCACTTCACTGCACCTCCTTATTTGGAGATTATCCTGAAGGGGATGATGAACCAGTTCAAATTAAGCAGCCATTTTTTTCTGTTTGCTGAATTAATTACAGCTCTGCCTCTTCTCACCATCACAGGAACTTTAATCTGGAAGTGTGGTGGGTGATATTCATTCCTCTAGGTGTGACTGAGTCAGCTAACATAACAAGCAACTAAACCCTCGGTTCTCCAGTTCTGATGGTACCTGATGTTCCTTACAGAGCAGGGGTCTCATTTATAAAGGATTGCGTGGAAACCATACTAAATGTGAACATACGGCCAAAAGGCAGAAATGGTGTATGCCAAAAAAAAATTCAGATTTATAAAACAGTGCGTACGCACGTTTCTGTGCATCCTTCCTTTATAAATCACAGCCGCACGTCAGAGTTTGCGCACGAGGTCCCGCCTCAGGTTCTACCCTCTACACGCCCACACTCAACCATAAACAGTCTATGTATAGTACCTCATGAATGTTAAGATGTATTTAAATCAGTCAGCTGATCAGTGTCAACAAAAGTGATTGGTTCAGACACGCTCCGTCGTGTGTCTGGAGGATGACAGGTGCTGACTGACAGCTGCTCACGTGAACAGAATGTCTGTAATTGACACAGATTTTCCTTCATTTTGCTTTAGAGTAATCTAACGATTTTTATAAAAGAAAATCTCAGCTTCAAATTAATTTTCTCTCAGAGCCTGCAGGATGATAAAAAAACAATAAACATTAAATTAAATAAGTCAGATAAAATTAGAAGTAAGTCCACCCCTCTTCTCCTCGTCCTCTATTATCCGCGGCAGACACCCCCGCCCCACGTACACACACACACACGCATCCCCCCCCCCGGAGTTCAAACATTTGGTTTTATTACATCCACACTGGTGAGGTGGATGCGCCCTGCGCGTGTATCCAAAGCGTGACTTTTTGCTGTCCTGCTGTTCTTGTCGGGGAGGGGTCTGTGGGTCAGGGAGGGGGTCTGTGGGTCAGGGACGGGTCTGTGGGTCAGGGAGGGGGGGTCTATGGGTCAGGGAGGGGTCTGTGGGTCAGGGAG